GTTATATGTGTTATTCGCTACCCGAGGCATCTTAGCCAAGTAAAGGTGGGAAGAGGGCTAAGAACTCTCGTGGCATATTTGCAGTGCAGATTGGTTGGACAGAAACAAATGGCTTGACGTTGAAAAGCAATGCCAGGTAGTGCCTAACATTGCTCATTATTTTTCTTCTACGTCGGTGAGAACGAGGACACATTGTCTTATTCCCGTTTTGCTGACGAGATCTCCACACCAATGCGAGTCTACTACCAAATAACACTCAATCACCAACTTTTCATTCGGCTTGGCCACAAGCTATAGACACATTTCTCAGTTGGCTGGCCTTATACAAGTGTACTTTATAGTCCGTCTACCAAGGCTTCTTTGTTCATCAGGAAGCTCAATACTTAGGCTTACCTACAGGGGTGCATGCGCAGCTCATTGACTCGACTCACATTGTTGCAAGTAATGACCTAGTTTACCATCACTTTGCACTTTCCGTCTATAATTTGCTTAGTTTTACGGTTAGGTGTTGGAGTAGAAGCAAATTATGTTAGTTCCAGGTACGCATGAAAGGAGGACAGACATGTCCCGAAGAGGAATCGGTCTTTATAAGTGAATATAAATAACACCTCTTGGCGGTATTTGGCCAAGGCATGTTCAATTAGCAAAACTGGGGATTTCAATTGACATCAGTTATTTCAGTAGTCGCACCATATTTCCCAACCTTCTTTTCATCTGGTGGCAGACTGCTACTGTCACTCCGCTTTTATGAACAGCCTTGTAAAATGCGGTGCTGAGGCATTGATTTAGTAAATGCTCAAATCATTGCATTCATTTTGCTCTACAAGCACGAAAGTATTAGAAGCTAGCACTTGCTGAGCGAAGATAACCTAATACTATTTGATTTAGTTTTGTCCAAACTGTAAAATTTGTTTCCACGTTAAATTTGATCTTTTTTACTTCGATTTCAAGACTCGACATTAAATAAATGCACAAATTGTAACTTTGATTAATTTAAAATGTGAATAAGTTATTAGCATGTCAAAAGGCGAACATTTGATTCAAATTACCATAATAACTGGAATCTACAAATTGCCATCTACAAA